CGGAATAATACCTCTACCTGTTTCCCAAGTTCAGCTTCTCCTTCAAGGACAGGAGCCATCTCCTTCTTTCTGATCTCCTCTGGACAGAGGAGTCAACATGGACTATGCCTGTTCCCTGCCGAGTTTGGATCTCCAGGACCTGCCTGACTTCTGCTCCCCACTCTTACTCCACAGTGCCTAGCAAGATGCTGGCTTTTGGGAAGCTATGTTGGTTGTGGTACTATGGCTGGATGTCAGGATGGGGCTAGGTGATGCTGCAGTAATGAATGGTCTCAAGAGTAGTGGGTCTTGGTAACTCAGAACCCTAAAAATTTATTTCTTCTTGACACTGTCCACTGTAGCTCACACAGGGCTCTACTCGTCTCTAGACTCTAGCACAAGGTAGCCGTTTTCACAGATGGCCAGATGGCAGAGGATAGCAAGCCCTGCCAAGTCAAGCAGGCCATTGACTGCTAGAGCCAGAAGGAAGAGGTGTAGTGTCCATATAGATGTCAGACCAAACTATTCCTATGGCTGCCCCTCATCTGAGGGGGCTAAGAAGTACCCACATCCTACGGGCAGCATGAACGACAGTTGGACAAAAGATGTTTTGTGGGGAGCCTTGCCTAACCTCTGCCCCTCAGCATTCACACCCCAAAGCCAAAGACCAAGCTTCCTCCAGGATCTATGAATGAAGAAGAGGGCATGCCTTTATTCTCATGCTACTAATCCTCTTTAAGCCCAGCAGCCATTGCTGCCTTCCTCCAGATGTCCTACGGAGGGTAGCTGACTGCAGATCTGGTCAGGGAGTCCTCTAGCAGGCAGGCCAGGGAACTGTGGAGAGCCTTCCCTGAACCGGTGGCCCACACAATAAAGGCCCTGGGCCCTTGGCATGCATGTGCTTTCTGCCAGCCAGAAATGCTCATTTCCCACTCGGTCACTGCTCATCAGCCAAGACTTTGGTCCATAGGATGTGGGTACTTCTTAGCCCCCTCAGATGACGGCAGCCATGTAAAGAGTTTGGTCTGCCATCTAAATGGAAGCTATACCTCTTCCTTCTCATGGTATGAGGCCCCTGTGTGCCACACTGCCCACCATACAGATTCCTGTGTTATGTGAGGACATGGGAGGAGGTTCGCTAAGTACCTGGTACTATGCCTGGTGACAGATGAGCAAACTATCAAGGTAGGACAGTCTGAGTGTTGGTCATGAGAAGTACCTGCTTTTCTCCCTAGTCTAAAAAATAAGCCAATGTGATATGGACCCGGGATGGGGATGAGAAAGAAAATCAACACCAGATGAGTTCCCATTCCCTTCTAGGTTGACCTCCCTACAACTCAAGTCTTGAGTGTCTTGGGGTAATTTCTTGTAACCTTCTCTTGGTAGAAGAGACTATAGCATACCCAGATATGACCCCAAGAAATCCACCATCTGGAAAGCTGTGCCACATAGGACCATGTGGCTCCTCTCCTGTCCCCATGGGAGGTCCTTCTTGTTATGTGGTTTGTGCACAGAGTCAGGCTAAGAGGAAGCTGCCCTGACCTGGTTGCCAACCAAGGAAGCCATGGAAAGAACCCAGGGGCTATCTGTAGGAAGAGAAACAAGCTCATCTCTTGCTGGCAAATGGATTTTGCCTGAAGCCCAAGTCCTGGTCTCATCTGTGGCTGTGGCTGTGGAGAGTTCAGTGTTGAGGATTGCAAAGAGAGAATGGTTGACTCTTAGAGTCTGTGCTGGGTGTAGATGTGGACAGTGGGGTCTGCATGCTCTCGCTGGACCTGACCCCATCATTTTATAGGGAGGCAGATCTTGTGGGAAGCAGGAGAGTTCTCGACCACACAGCACACTGGCGGCATATGATTCCTGCTAAGCGCCTGCCCTCCTGATAGCATCTGCCTTATCCCTGCTTTTGAGCATAAGTGAAGTGCTGGCGTGTATACCTTCTTGCCCTGGTATCTGAGTGTGTTTAGTTCATGGCCCTGAGTCACTTGGTGGCCAGTCACTTGCTCACCCAGAACACTCTGAGCTCAGAAGTAGGCTCTGTTACTGAATAGAATAGTGCCCCTGTTCAGTCACACGGCTCTGGGCAATAAAGCCTACCCAAGTCCTCACTGGATATAAGCCATCAACAGTTTTCCCAGGGACACAAACATTATTCAAAACATTTCCTTTGGAGGAACCAGGGTCATGGGTACATGGATGACATTGACTGGGAGAATCCTGCTGTGGCTGTTGGTGCCCAGAAGGCTGGCTGCTGCCTAGAGAGGGTCTGGGCTGAGAAGGACATGTCTTGCTCTTAGCATGTTAATGCAGTTACAGTCAGCTTGGGATTTAAGGGCCAGACCCAGGGTTCATATTTTTTTTCTTAACAAGAGTAGAGATGATATTGAGCCTGACAGTGTTGTTAGAGCAAACCAGAAGTGAGTGGATATGTTAACAGATGCCTTGCCCATCTGACATGCATAGGTACAGTTCTCCCCACAGCCTGGGGAGGGTGTGGAACACGTAAGATTTTAACTCCTTTTTGAAGAATGACACATGCAAGCACCACTGTTGCCACTCCCAATTCCAGGTTCGCAGTTAGCATCATTAACTGATCCCTGTACACTACAAAATTCTCAATATAGTACACTGCCAGTCAGCCGGAATCAGAAAATTGGAAGTGGGACCTATTGCTGTCATTGTGCTAGAGATGGAGATCAGGACATTGTCATAGACCATTGTCTGGTCCCAAGAGATAATGATGACAGGCACTCATTCTGGTTTTCAAAATTTACCATCATGGTGTACTCTTCTCTATGCTGTGGAGCCAACCAGGGCTCGGGTGTCTCATGTTCATGGAGACAGACTCTGCTTCTAGTGAATACTAAGCCAGCCAGGTCATTTCCAGGTGTTAACACAGTAAAGAGAGGGGCACATGGGCAAGCGAAGGATTGTTTCCTGGAGAAGCAAATGGGTTTATAGGGGACAGGGAGCAGGGTGATGGAGGCTAGATACTCACTACCTACAGTATTTTGGGACACCAAACACACATATTCCAGGAGACACAACCAGTATGGTGTGGCCACTAGGAAGTCATTTGTGACAGGTGTTATTTGATAACCAAATAAACCCTGTGAGAGAATGAGTCTCTGATCCTGGAGGTGGACAAGGATGGCGGCTGCCCCAGCTACAAGAATCAAGGGTCAAACGGGATTCTGCAGGGAGGAGTCCTGGGCAGTGAATAGGCATACTGCATGCACAGAGCCATCCTGGGATGGGGTGTGGAGGAGGAATAGGGAACCCCAGCCATGTGGAAGCCACAGGGCTGTAGCTCTAGATGGAGTGATGAGTTCCATGGGAACTCAGACACAGCCACGTGGGCTTCGGTCCTTGACAAATCCAGGAGGAGAGATGCCAGGTCTTACTCGGGAATGCCAACTGATAGTGAGTTTTCTATCTCAATAGGCTATTGGCAGATCTAGGTGCCTGAGCATGCCAGAACCAACACTTAGTCTTTGCTGCAGCCACGAGGGAAGGAGCAGTGCTGGCTGCCCTCCAGACCCAGTTTTCTCTGCTGTTGACTCTCCATCTGGGGTAAACCAGGAAGGGGTGTGGGTGGAGAATCCCTGTTGGAAAGGGATTCCAGGCTGTACATTAGAAGAGCTCTAGTCTCCCCCTCTGCGTCTGGAGTGCTCAGTGGAATATGTATGCTGGGTCATTAGGACAGGAAAGAAGCAATGTTGTGAGAACAGCTTTAGAGGTGGACTAACACACAGCGAGGCTCTGGCACCAGCATTGACACCTCCAGGATGACTGCGGTGATGTGAGTAATCTCACAGGCCAGGGCATCAAACACCCTCTGTTTAGGCCTCCTGAAAGAATGTCTTTTCATTTTCCACCAATTGTGAATGTTATAATTCCTAGGATAGTGTATTGCTTTTTAAAGGTGGCATTTTGCAAATAATCACAATGCCACTGCTTTTTTAGGGCCCGCCCATTGTCACTTTAAAGAAACGTCTGAACAAGCCCATCTTTAGCAGACAGAGATTTTATATCTTCCTTTTCTCCTCTCCTTGAACTCCCATTTCTAGCCCACTTCCCCCACAGGGTTTTTTCCTAATGTAATATATTTTTTATGCTTGAAAGTCTTTTATTGATCACTGTTTCACACTCATCTGCCACAACAAGAGGTACATAAATTGAAATAGAAATTTCTGGGGGAAAATTTTTTCCTGGGATCATAAAGCACTGCATTTTAAAACCTCTTAATTTTTCCCCCAGATTGAGTTGTGATTAGCCTGCAATTTGTCAAGAACAAATTTAGATAAATAGTAAGTGTAAAAAAAAATATCAAAAACACACTTCTTGGTGAAACAGATATAGCTTTCTTTCTTTCTCAATTGGCTCGTGGATCTGTGAATGAGGATTTCTTACGAGTATAATGAGACAGGGCCTGGCCTTCATTTCATGATGATTTCCAGTGTTTGTAGGGAAAGGGCTTAGAGGGCTGGGGTGTGTGAACAGGAAGCCAGAGACCAGTGGGTTTGCTTCATGGTGTCACTTGATTCTTTGACTCCTTCCAAGGTGTATGCCAAAAACCAGATGAGGGTATATATTTTAATGGTTTCTTCATTTACAGCTCTGTTGGATGTGTGTGTGTGCGTGTGTGTGTGTGTGTGTGTGTGTGTGTGTGTGTAGAGGCCATAGTATACAACCTCAGGTACTCAGGTATTTTTCCTCAGGTACCACCACCCTCCTTTTTTGGATCCAGGCAGGGTCTCTTGTTGGACCAGAACTTACCAAGTATAATAACCTGGCTGACCAGCCAGCACCAGGGATCTATCTATCCTTACCTCTGCAGTGCTAGGATTATAAGTGTGTGTCTCACGACCAGTGTCTTTTACATGATTTCTGGGAATCAAATTCAGATCTTCATGCTTGCTTGCAAGGATAGTACCATACCAGTCGAGCTATCTCCCGAGCCCTGTTTATTGGTTTTGAGAAAGAGTCTAGCTCTGTAGCTCAGTTGGCCTAAAACTCAGTATGTAGTGTAGCAGGCTAGCCTTGAACCTGCCATCCTCCCACCTCAGCCTCCTGAGTTTTGGGATTACAAGCATGTATCATATCACTTAGCTGCGAGCAAAAGTTATCAAGTTGAGGAGGTTGCCACATGTCCCTACCTACTCTTGTTAATGTCAGCTAAGAGGACTGAGGCCCTGATAGCCCAGGTGCCTGGCTACCCTCTTCCTCTGCTGGCCTTGACCCTAAGCTAAATAATAAGGCATTCTCCAACATTAAGGGCTCTTTCTGATTTCTTACGTAATTCAGATGGAAAAACTCCGGACGGCAGCCCCCACAGCGGATCTGTTCGGAGTCGGTATTCAGGGACCTGGATTTTTGACCAAGCTTTGAGATATGCATCTGGTATGTGATGGCTGAGGGATGTGGCCTGATTTGGGTTAGCATGGAGGGTGGGCACAACTGGCCATGGCTGCCAGCTGTATACCCTGAGTGAGCAAACTCTGCTAGTACCTCAGGGCCTGAGGGGCCACCCTCTCCCACATTCCATCCAGCCATTGTGAGCAGATCTGAGTCTACCCTCAGGGATGACAGGACCTCTGGACATCTGGTGGTCTAGTCTCTCTGAACCATTTGAACAGTACTTCCTCTGGATCACAGACATGGAAGAAGGAGCATCCTACAGCCACTTGTGTTTGGGACCTCAATCCATCCCTGCAGGACTTACAGCCTGAAGCAGCTTTATGCCTTGTGTCTCACCAGGACAAGGCCAGGGATTAAGTATTTTCTCCATCACTGTTGGCTGTGAACCTCCTCCTCCTGGGCATTCTGGTACTTTGGTTCTGAAGAAAGCACTTTGAAAAGCTGGTGGTCACCACAGCTCTTACTTAGTGAGTGGCCGCTGAGTACCAGGCCTCATGTTAAGGACTCTCAATGGCTATTGTTTCACAGAGAGGAGTCCTGGAACTCCCTGGGGCCTTTCCTGACCTGTGGTCAGTGAGCTAACATTTGGACCCAGATTGGTTGCCCTTACTGCTCAGTGAGGCCACCACTCTCAGCCATTTAGCATCTTCCATGCACAGGGATTGCCACACACAGGGACCACAGGGACCAAGGGTGATGGAAGGGTGAGCTTGGGAACCCCTCCTGCCAGCATATGGTGTCCATCCTCACTCCCGAAGGGGTAGAGAAATGGTCAGAGGCCAAGGCAGCATGCAGCCTCGGCTCTCCATAAGCAGAGGAGATGGATTGATTGCCTTAAAGCCACTCATTATAAGTAGCATTGACACTGTAGACTGCACTCCTCACTACAGCTGGGCAGGGTCTCACCTCAAGCCTCCAGGTCCTACTCTGACTGTCACAACACCATCACCAAGTTTTCTCCAGGCCTGCTGACCCTTCCGCCCCCCATTAGATGGAGGGCAGGGATCACATCTATCTCGCTGCCGAGCCTCGGTGCCTGGCCATTGTGAATGCTCAATAAATCCATGGTGGTGGAAAGAAACTGGCAGAAGCTGTTAGAGTAGGTGGAGGCACCAAGAAGAAAGTCAGGAAGTTATCACTTGGTGATTGATGAGTACAGCAGCGAGCCACCATGAAATACCGAGTCCTCGCTCTGTGCCAGCCACAGGGCTGAATGCACAGTAATGCACGTGTGATATCGCTGTGGGCTTGTGTCCTTCCCCAAGTGGCAGGGATGATGTATGCAGAAACCCCTCAAAGGCCAGCTTCTGAGTGCTGTGTGGCAATAGGATGGCAGTGGCCCCGGAGTCTCTCACAGTAACACAGACACGGGCCACTGTCCCCTAGTACTTCCTTTATGCCAGTCGCTCATGTGTTCTGTCTGTGTCTTGCTATCGCTGTAAGAGGCAGGAGCCACAGTCCTGGTGGCAGATGAGGAATCCAACACTTAGACAGGTAAAAGTGAGTTCAAGTGGAGGAGCAAGGTTGGCATCCAGACTCTTCGAGGCTGCCTGACAGAAGAGTCTCTGCTTCTAGGCACAGCAACAAAGAGTGGCCGTTAGTAATCATGATCACTCCCCATGTGTCTACAGAGAACATGCTCCTCTTTCAGCCTTCTCGTTAGCCCATTGCCTTCTCTAGAGAAGACACTTAGGTATGGACTATGAATGGCAGAGCCAAGCTCCTTCTCTGGACCTGCACTAAAGAAGAAGTGATGTTTTCCACCTTGACTGCAGGGTGTTAGGAGTTTCCTGGAAAGGCACACGCCTGGATCCCCAGACCCAGCAGCTTGTATATTACCTGTTCTGGGACAAAGACTTCTTGCACATTCTTCCTGGTCTGTCTGTTCAGGAAGGTGGAAGCTGGGTCCAATTAGCCTCAAGCCCACAGGAAGGCTTTGCTCAGTAGCAATGAACAGGCACTTTACCTGTGGCCCCTTGCCAGGTTAGGTCCTGTCGGCAGAATCCAGCCTCCCTGCCATGTACTTTGTTTCAGGCCCTACTGTAGGGGTGATATCTAGAAAAGCCTTGGCACAGGTCAGCTATCTATTCAGCGAGGCGGCTCTTAGCTCTGGCTGCCATGTTCCACACTAGAAGCTGCCAGAAGCCATGTGCACCACAGCTAGAAGTGGCTAGAGCCCAAGCATGCTACAACTAGACCCACAAGATGCCAGTGTGTGGGGTGGCTCTGCCAGTTCACCAGGCTGTAACCACAAAGCTTGGCTGAACCCCAGACACTATCTGCCATCCTCTCAGTACCCGGTAGAAATGAGACTCTTAAAGCTTAATGATTATCTAAAGGATTTACATATTTAGAAATGCTTAATCAACAAGATGCCCACGCAATTAGAGTTGTTACCCAGTATCTAACCTTTTGATAGAAGTTGCTCCCCAGGACAGCTTTCGACCCATCCGTGGTTCTCCATGGCTGATGGCCTCCTTCTTCCCCTCCCCTTCCTCTCTTTCTCCCCTCTCCTTCCTCTCTTCTCCTCCCAGCTCTACCCCCTCTTTTACTGCCTAATTACAGAGCTCCACTGTGAATACAATGTAGCAGAATAAATATCCTGCTACACCCTATATGGTAGGTCATTTTTGGGTCCCCTTAGGGTCAGCCGTTTTAATTCTCTGCACCTGGAAAAGGCTCCAAGAGGCTGAAGTCAGGTGCGTGTGTGTGCTGTGAGGCTGTTCTCTGTGTCTGAGAGCACCATGGTTCCTCAGCAGGTGGGGACTGCTCTTCTTGGTGAGCTCGTCTGTCATGGGACTGGACACTTGCTAGAGGAAGTGAAGAACCAGCTGAAGGGAGGTGAACAGACCAGATCCTATGAGGTCTGGAGAAGTTCCCAGGGTCAGACTGCTGGCAGGTGCAGAACAGGGACTGGAACCCCTGTGGCCTCATGTGAAGCCCATGGTCTTCCTCTCTGCCCCCTGCTGGGAGCAGGTCAGCCTGAGTGACATCCTTATGGTGTGGTGGCTCATCCCAGAGCACTCTGGGTCCCTCTCCTTTTTCCTCTCAGTGTGTTCAGGACACAGTCAAGTCTGTCACCTTTATCTTACAGATTTGGAAGCCAAGACACAGAGATGGTTGCAGGTGGCTGTGAAGTAGGCCTCATTGACTCCAGTTCAGTGCTGTCTCTGTTGGGCCTTGATGCCCTTTTGTCTACCAAGGCTCGATCCCTGCCCAGTGGCACTGTGGGTCCTGGGCCTTGTGGAAACAAGGTAGCTGATGGGCCCTTCCTCTGCTGTTTTTCAGGGTCCTATGAATGCGGGATCTGCGGCAAGAAGTACAAGTACTACAACTGCTTCCAGACGCACGTGCGGGCGCACCGAGGTGAGTGGCATCTGACTGTCCTGTGCTCTGCTTGGTATCCCTAGGGGCCCGACAGTTCATTCTCCTTCAACCATAGGAGGGAGGGCCATGGAGGAAGGAAGAAGCTTCCTTGTTGTGGGAAGAATGATGGGAGTTCAGGGGTTAGGGCCCTGGTTTGTCCTCTGAGGACCTTAGGGATACTCAGTCTTATTCTGTTATCACCTCCCCTCCCCCACAAGGCCATGTGCTGACATCCTCTGTTGTTCCTCCTGACAACTCAAGAGAGAAGCCGGAAGCTGTTTCCCATTCTGAAAGTCAGGGGACAAATGGACTGGCACTTGCCCCTCCTGAGCCAGGTGGCAGGGAAGAGAGACCCAGGTGCAGGCCTTGCTGACGTTGAGCCTCAGGGCAGAAATGAGAGTGTCCATGGGTGGACAGCACTCCCAGACTCCCATAGCTGCCCCCATGCACGCCATCTCTCCCTTGGCCCAGCCCTGCCCCTGCCATCATTCTTGCTTACGGACTCTCTCCTTCCTATTTCTGTCTTTCTTTTTCTCACAGATACTGAAGCCACCTCAGGGGAGGGAGCCTCCCAGAGCAGTAAGTACTTTTCCCACATCTTGGGTTGGTGGGGACCAAGCACTGGGCATGAGAAGTAGCTCTTCCTTCCTTCCCAGGACAGCCTTTGAGAAACATGTTGCTGGAGGCCAGAGGGCCTTATTAAATAAGAGCAGGCCTTCTCAAAGTGGGTTCCATAGCATGCACATTCTGAGGAGGGGTATCTCAAAAAAGGGTTCTCGGGCTAAGTACTCTGGGAAACCTTGAGTTGTTCCCACATGAACATAATTGACAGCTTTACTACGGGTGTCCCATACATCTCCAGAAGGAGCCTTCAGTGTACTTTGGACCCTGGCTTATGGGCTTAGGGTTCTGTAGCCCGTGCTGAGGAACAGCTCTCTCAGAGGATCCTCAGCCTCTGGGACAGTTGCTCCTTGGTGCTTTGTTTTAGGTAGGGTTCTAGATGCTGGAGCCCTGTGATAGATGCCCACAAGTCCTGCTTGCCCTCCTTCCAACTCCAACCTCATGGGATAATAAGCAGACAGCCCTCGGGGTACACTCTGAGGTCAAACCTCTACTCTTTCACCCTCCCTGTGGACAACATGAGCTTCAAGAGTTCTACCCTTAGTGGCTATCACAGCTAGGTATATCTGTAGGTCCATCAAAAGATGCAAACTAGAATATTCTTAGAGTGTTGTCCCTGACAACTCTAAAGCAGAAGTCCCTCCCCACCATGCTCAGTGTTAGGAGTGACTGAGTTAAGACCAGTCATCTAAAGGACTGCATGCAGAAGTAAGGGTGGATGCAGCCTAGCTACCCATGGGTGTGTGCACCAAGCTCTCGACCTTAATGAATGAAGCCAGGCACAGAGGAGCTCACTGCTAAGACCGTCAGAAAGCACACGCATGGAGTGTTTAATGCAAGTCAGAAGATTGGGCACCCTTGAAAGGGTCTGCTTTCTGCTTTTTTCTTTCTTTCTTTTTTTTTTTTTTTGGTTTTTTTTTTTTTTTTTTTTTTTTTTTATTTTTTTTGGAGACAGGGTTTCTCTGTGTAGCCCTGGCTGTCCTGGAACTCACTCTGTAGACCAGGCTAGCCTCAAATTCTTGAACTCAGAAATCCGCCTGCCTCTGCCTCCCAAGTGCTGGGATTAAAGGTGTGTGCCACCACCACCAGGCTTGGTTTCTGCTTCTTGAGCCAAGTTCTACAGTGCTTTTTGTGGGTGGAAAGACCAAGCTGCTTGCTTAAGCCATAAACACTTTGTTCCCTGGGGGCCAAGGAATGTTTTCTGTGGAGGATGAGATGGTGAGGAGGTTGTACTCAGGGGCATGGCATCTCCATCCCCAACCCCTCATGTGTACTGGAAACACCAAGGGGACACGAGGCTAGATTCCCAGTAAAGATGGTGACAGGATCTGGCCCCAGGAACCAGGTTGTGATCCTGTTCATTATTTTGTTGCACCATTATATAATGCTCAAAGATAATAAATGGTACCCAAAACACAGTAGGTCATGTATAAGGTAGCCTGAACTGAAGAAGAACTCTATACCTGAGGCCAAGCCCTGAGAACATTATTCTTGAGCCACTCACTCTGAGAGGTAAGCAAAGCTGCTACAGAGCCTGTGTTCAGCTTGGCTACACACCTGGCATATACTATGGCTGGGAGGCATGGCAGCCGTCTCTGCCACAGCCCAGCCCTGTCTCTATCTGCTTCAATAACTCCTCCCTTCTTTTCTGGCCCCTGTGGTCTGCCTGTGGTCAGCCACACATTTAAAGACCTTCCCTATTTATCCTTCCTTCCTTGACTATTCTTGGTCCCTGGCCTCCCTGGAAGCCTGTCAATGGGCTGTCGTGCTGCATCTGGTTTCCACTGTATGGGCTCGCTGGTGTCGGTGCTGTGGTAAAAGCATTGTTGGGCTTTCCTTGTTTGTTTCCTTCCTCTTTATGGGCCATTTTCCACATAGCCAGAGTGCTGTCTTCTCTGTTCTATGTCTTACCCTAGGTCAGACCTGCAGCAGCGCTCTGTGTCTAGTGAACTTACAGGTCACCCTTGGCACAGAGCTGTAGGGCCTTGGAGCTGAAAGGCTCCTGTCAACTCCAGACTGCCACTTTGTACAAGGAGACCTGGGTCCCAGGGAGTGGACGTCATTCGGCTTGTTAGCACCAGAGGCTAGCCTGGCTCAACACTCCTTATGCTTCCTAGTCTAAGAACCTGCTGTGCATTTAGCAGGGAGACAGCCCAGTTAAACACAGACATAGAAACACACCCACCCGCTCACCCATCTCTCACTATGAGAGGATCAAAGACCAGTCCCCCACCCCATACCCAGCTTCCATATTCATCTCCTAGGTCTTCTCTGGAACACCCTGCCAGATGACATTTACCCTATTAGTCAGTTGGTGGCCATTGTGTTCTGTCTTACTTAGGGTTACTATTGCCATGATGAAACACCACAACCAAAAACAACCTGGGGAGAAAAGAGATGTATTTGGCTTACACTTCCACAGTATTGTTCATCACTGAAGAAAGTCCAAACAGGAACTCAAACAGGGCAAGAACCTGGAGGCAGGAGCTGATGCAGAGGCCATCGAGTGAGAGGACTGCCTACTGGCTTGCTTCTTTCTTGGCTTACCCAGCCTGCTTTCTTATAGAACCCAGGACCACCAGCCCAGGGATGGTACCACTCACTGTGGGCTGAGCCCTCAATCACTGATCAATCAGAAATTAAGAAAATGCCTTACAGCTGGATGTTGTTCCTTTCTTCATTATAAAGAGCCGTTATTCCCGTCTCACAGAGGTATTAGGGAGTGAGTCCAAAGTCAGTCATATTTTTGTTAAAAGTAGAGTGTGATTTGGGCTTAGGTGACTCATCCTAGAGTCTGCCTCCTGTAACAGGTCCATGGTGGCATTCCTGGGATGCCAAGCTCTCGTGCAAAAACATGTTTGTGAAAACATTTCCTTTGGGAATAACTGCCACTATTCAACTGTTGCATTAAAATTCTGGACTATGAGAAAACGGTGTGGATTCAATAGGGCAGATGGGGGTGGTTTTCAGTGACAGGAAACTGAAGGAAGGGTGTCCCTAAGTTTTACTGGAGCTGGGAAATGTGGCCTGTGGGGAGAGGAGCAGGCCTGCCGACAGGAGAGGCTGTGGGCAGAAATAGAAACAAGCAGAGTGAGCAGTTGCAGAGGGCCAGCAACCCTGGGGAATCCGAGAGAGGAATGTCAGGATGAAGCCTCATCTGGAGTTAGCACCTAGGTAGCTTTCCCTGTTGGTATTCAGAGAAGAAGATGGAATTATGGGAGAAGCTGTGGATTGTGGGACAGCATGAGAAGGTTTTTTCCTGAGCTGCCTTGCTTGCCTTGGAGAAAGAGGTAGTGTTGAAGTAAGAGCCTTAGAGAGGACCTGGGGTCACCTGATCTGTGACCCCACTTCAGAAATTAGGGAAAATGGAGGGAAAGCAGAGACTAGCTCTCCCTTGGAAGACCCTGGTACTCAGATCCTGTGAATATCTACAAGTGTTTAAGCTGTGGGCTCCTCAGGTAGTGACAGCTCATCTCTGCAGTCTTGGCATCCGCTAAGACACCCTCATAGTACACCAGTTTCAGGAATGAGATGAGGGCAGAAGTGGGAAGAAAGATAGCTAGTGTTTTTCATGTCTCTAAGTTCAGCTGAGAGGGGGGTAAGGAACCTTCCCATCCCACCCAGGGTGGTACAACCTTGGCATGGAGTATTTCATTGGCTCTTCTACTGGATGCTGAGGAGCAGGGAGTGGGTCCAGAACAAAGCACCTCAGCGTGGTTTATGTCAGCAGAGAAAGGCCATGTACCCTGACTTGCTTTGGCTTGAGGTTAAGTGAGTAGTTGGTCCCTAGCTCTCTTTTTCTTCCTTCTGTACAGCTTTGAACAAGCTGCTGTACCTTTGCATGCTGCCTAGGGACCCTAGGGAGATAGGATTCATAGGCTGTCCACAGGTCACTCACATACATTGGGTCTGAGATAGTTCAAATGGAAGAGGATATGCCCTGCCTGGAAGGAAAGGTGTAGGCCTGGATGCTGCTGACTTCACTGCGGGAGGCCTACAGAACAGGCAAACTTAGACCAGTGTTAGCTGTTTTACTGTGTAGTACAAGTCTATAAAACTCAAAGCAACCAACCCTGGTTTTCTCCTAGTTTCTATGGTTAGGAATTTGAGTTTGGTTTTTCAGAGTCCTCTGGCTTGGGGACTCCCACAGGACTACAGGTAGGATTGGCTAGAGCTGAGGTCTCATCCCAGGGCTCAGCTTGTAGGGGTTTCTTTTAGGTTTGCTTGGGTGAGGAGGTGAGGGTTGTAGGACCCTGTCCCTCCCAAACTATTGGTCTAAGAGCCTCAGTTCCCACTAGCCACTCACAGAGGGCCAGACTCAACTTCTTGCCACCTGTATCTCTCTATGACTAAACTGAGAACATAGCAGCCAACCACAGAGTAAGCAGGGGACAGGTGGCATGTGCAAGTCAGGTGGCATGTGCAAGGCCAGTGTCCTGGCTGCCTGTCACCTAACTTCAGAATGACATCTCATCACTTTGACCACATTCTCCTAGTTAGAAGTACCCAAAGAGAAGGTGTCACAATAGGGTATTTACACTAGCTGCAAGTGGCATCAGCGTATCTCTGAAGCCAGGCCACCTCACGGTAGGACTTGGGCAGATCACTTCTCTTTAGTTTGCTCAGACGTTCATGGGGACTGCTTCTCCCCTCTGTGATTGAGAGAACCCAAGAGAAGAAGCAGGGCCAGCTACCTTGCTCACAGTTACATCTGGCCTTCACCATGGGGTCTGCAGTAATTGTTACTCTTCTGAGATGATTCTTTTGAGAACCAGATCCTAGAGAACTTCGCTCTCACAGGGAGAGCTTGAGGGTCAGTTTGGGGATCAAAAATATGAGTTGTCTTATGGTTCTGGATCTCCACAAAGGACACCTGTTGTCACAATCCAAGCCTTATAGTCCAGAATGCAATCTAAGGCTGCTCCAGAATGGAGATCCAGAGAGGAATAGAGGAAGATCTGGCTAAACATGGAGGAGGAGCTGCTCAGAGGTCCAGGGAGTGAGAAGGACCACAGCGGCCTCTGTTCAGAAGAGGTGGGCAGTGCCAAGACTCAGTGGATCAGGATCAAGTTCTCCGTTGGGCCCTCCAGTTGGAGCCAGACTGGCTTGGTTCCATCTTGAGTCCAGGGTCTGGTGCACTGAGCAGCAGCCTCACCCTGGCTGTTCAGCTTAGTGACTTTCTGTTCCCTCTCCCCAGACAATTTCAGGTACACATGTGACATCTGTGGGAAGAAATACAAATATTACAGCTGCTTCCAGGAGCACCGAGATCTCCACGCAGTGGATGGTGAGTCAGGCCCCTCACTCCTGGGAGTCACAGCAGAGAAATGCCCTTCTTCCAGATCACTGTCCCTACATAGTGCCACAACCCTGGGGAGAGGGACCTACTGTGCAGGATTCTGGGGAGGGAATGTCCCTTCATTTACATGTTCCCTTCTGTGTCTGATCCATATGAAACTGCTGGGTTTTTTCTATAGTTCTACATGTGTTGAATGTTGAAACTTCAGGTCAGATCTTTTTACAGTTTTATATTGAGTGTTTGCACTCTAGAGTAAAATTAAACCAATTTGTTAAAATGAATGATGTCCTTTGACATCTTAGATTATAGAGGTGGATGTCAGAACAATAAATTCAAGCCATTCATCTGTAGAATGTTAAGATTCCTAGAAAGAGGGTTTTATGCCCAGAAAGGACTTGAGGTTCCCCATCTAGCCCTCCACCTCCACCGCTGAGCAGTGATGTAAGGCCTGCTGCCTCTGCCCCATTCTCCTCTTGCCTCCCTTTTCCCTTCATCCTCTTTGAGCCTCTTTGCTCCTGTTCTTTCACCTCATGCCTGCTGGGGAGTTCCGAGCCCCTAGTGAGGAGGAAGGGTGGGTAATGGTTGGGGGAATGTGCCTTACTGTGGCCCTGCCTTCCTGGGTTTCCTCATGGGCCAGGTCAGGCCTCCTGGTGGCACAGGCAACCCCATGAATCTAGGCATGGCTGGCAGAGGTAGCAATGGCCAGGGACTAACAGAACTCTTGTTTGTTTTTTTTTCCTCCTGTGGCTGTCGCCTCTCGCCTGGGTACAGTGTTCAGTGTGGAAGGGGCTCCCGAGAATCGGGCAGGTAAGTCTCTGTGGCCACTCATTTTCTCTGTTTCCAGCTGGGTTCTTACATCTTCGGTGAGCAGCATGCTTAAGTCCGTGTGTTCTCCCACAGACCCCTTTGACCAAGGTGTTGTGGCCACTGATGAGGTGAAGGAGGAGCCTCCAGAGCCATTCCAGAAAATTGGACCAAGTATGCGGGACCCTGGGGCCATGGGCTGGAGGGGTTGGGTGAGGGAGGTGGGTTGAGCTACACATCTAGGAAGGCTGTATCTGGAAATTTGCAGCTGTCAGTTGGTCTGGGCAGTCTCAGGATGTTAGCCTTCAAGGAGCTGCAGACAGGGTTTGGTCAAGGTCACAGGAGTGAAAGTAGCCATCCCACAGCCTCGTGCTGTCTTCATTTTGGCAATTCATTTATGGTTCCCTGTCAGTCTTCCGAACTTCTGCCTCCTGTAACACTGAGGGAAATACTCCTGGCTAACTTGGTAGATGCTAATGAGGTTGCAGACTGCATGTTAACACAGTGCCTGGAACATGCTAGGTGCTCAGAGGGTGATGACTGAGGACATTTGAGGGGCATCTCAGTGAACAGAGTTGAGTAGGGCAGCTACATGCGGACATAGACACTTACTCCATAAATCCCCTAAGGACAAGAACCACACTTGTAACTTGTATGTCTTCAGGAAACTTGTCTTGAAGGCTGTACAGTTATGGTTGACAGACATGGCTTTGCACTTGGGCAATTCACATGGAGATCAGGGGTGTGGGATTGTAGACAAGTGAGCAGACAGTCAGAACCCAAAGCACTTCAGGGGCCAAAGAAACTCAGAATGAGAAGTGAGAAGCTTTCAAGGCAAATACAGGTAGGAATGGAGCCCTACATTCCAGAAGTGTGCATGGTGTGTGTGTGTGTGTAAAGGGAGGAGATACACTGGTGGGTTCATGTCTTAGAGGACTCTGGGTTTTAGGATCCACTGTCTAGACTTGGTCTTTATGGAGCTGAGTTCAGGATGGAGAGGAACTCTGGCAGCTAGGAAGAGACTAGATAGGGAGAGATCCCCATGGTATTGTAGGCAAGTATCGTAGGACCACAAAGAGAGAGACTTTTTCATCCATCCCTTCAAGAAGTTTCAGCATGTTCCTTTCACATGTTTCCTGTTCCTCAGTTACTATCCTGCAAGAAGAGACCTTTATGGACTTAGGCTGTTTGTTACGGTCAGGATCCAAGGATATTTGCAAAAAGCACACACACAAAAACCGAATGAGGGGATAAGGAAATCTGATGAGCTGACACTCAAAATAGGGGGATGCTGTGTAGCAGGAGCTCTGTCTGGGATCTTGGAAGGTTCCAGATGCTGTCTGTAGGCCCTTTTTTTTTCCTGCTGTCTCAACATACTTAGGGGTAGCTCTTCTTGACTCATTCAGGAGCCTGCGGAGGATACGTGTGTCTGCAGAGGGGCTCGTGAACGCCTATCACATACATAGTAAACATTGGATATTTGGGAATGTGAAAATCATCTTGTGGGTTGGGAAAACAATGAAATCTCCACACTGAGAGTGAGGCTGTAGAAGTACAATAGGTGCTCACGCCTGCCAGGGTGCTTCTGCTCACCTGGAAACTAGGGACAAGAAATAGAACATCTTCTCCATGGCTAGGGAATATATGCAGTACGTGTCTAGCCCAGTTCCCGCCTCTTATCCAGGTTGTGAGATGAGGGTGTTACTGGGAAGCCAGCCAGGACAAGAATTTGAGAGCTGGCCCCAAACCTATACCCCAACTCTGTACCAAGCTGCATGGTGTCCTTCTATTTCTGAAGTCTGTCTGATCCACTCTGTGGTGGAGTAATGACAGCCCTCCCCTTTCAGCATGGTCCCAGGGATTGGGTGAGACTATTGTCAGTAAATTAGCATGGTCCTCGTCATATTAGGTAGGACCTACAGACTGTCCATTAAGATGCAGGATGCACATGCCTTTAATCCCAGAACTCCAGGAAGAAAAGGCAGGTAGATCTCTGAGTTTGAGACCAGCCTAGTCTACAGAGAGAGAGTTCCAGGACAGCCAGGACTACACAGAGAATTCCTGTCTTAAAAACCAAACCAACCAACCAACCAACCAACCAAACAAACAAACAAGGATGCAGAGCAGGATGGACCTTGTTCTGTGCATAACCTGATGTGCAGCCCTTTCTAGGATCTGGAGGATTCCCCACTGAGTGTGCTGGGATTTCCCTGAGGAACTTGGGGTTGGATGTCAGCACACTCCCAGGTCGCCCCAGCAGAACCAAGATGGCGGCAGCCATGTCAGGTTCCCTGTAGAGTGAGAGTGTGTGGGAGAGGATGAAGATGCTGTGTGAGAAAGCCTGTGCTGTGAACCTCTGAAAAATAAAGTGAGCATAGGCCAAATGGAGCCTGGGTACCCTAAGGAAAGCCCCAAAGGTCCAGGGAAGAGGAGGGTTCCTGGAGGAAGAAAGTCTGCTTTCCGTGTGGCATCAGCTGAGCAAGTGGGAGAGGAGGAAGCAAAGTCCTGGTGAACAGGAGGACAGTAGTTGGAAGAAGAGTGTTGGTTAGGTGCCAGTCCCCATCAGCTGCAGGCGGGTGTTGACTGCTGTGGCTGTGAACAGGAGAACAGTTTTCATCTACTGAGAGAGGGAAGCTGGCTCACATGATCTTTATGCTTGGATAAGGGAGACAGCATGAAAAATAGAAACAAAAACTCAATAACAATGAAAATTCCACTTGACAAGAAAAAAAATAAAAAGTGCAGGGAGAGTCCAGGGAAGAGTGTATCTCTAAACAGAATCTGTCATCAGGTTTAGACAGAAACATTTCTGTACATCACATATAAGAACTTAATATAGGGTTGATATGGCAGCACTTACTTGTATTCCTGGTACTGAGTGCTAAGCCAAGAGGATTTCAAGTTCAAGGCCAGCTTGTACTACAAAGCAAGAATCCTGTGTGGAGGGGGAGGGGAGGAGAAAGTAGCAGAGGAGGAGGAGGAAAAAGAGAGAGAGGAAGTTATTACCACTCATCTCCTATGTGGGCTGCTGCTGTAACATACCACACAACCTAAAGGATATCAGTAACTGCTGCAGCCCTGGAAGCTCAATGTTGTCATGCCCATGGGGTTGGGTTCTGGTGAGTTGTGTCTTCCCGGTTTGCATATGACCTTCATATGTCACCCCTTATGGGTGGCAGGGAAAGGGAGATGGGAGACTGAGACTGGTGTCTCTTCTAAGGACTCTAGTCCTGTGGTTCCTACCCTCACGATCTCACCGAGTCCTAATCATGTCTCAAGGTCCCAACTCCAGATGCCATCATGGTGGAGTCCAGCACCTCAGCATGTGGTAGAGGGACAGTTCACTGGTTGCATGACCCTGTGGTTCTGTGGTGCCTGGGGTTGTATGATGAAAAGCAGCAGGATAAGATAAAAAGGAACAGAACAGAAGATGAGAGACGATTTGGGGAAGACAGAATACAAAAGCAGAATGAAACACTGCATGATGGTAATGACAGAATTGCTCTGCACAGAAGTAATTACCAACATGAAGGACAAGCGGTAATGGAAGGCCATAAGAAATGTGTGAGAATAGGGAACTAGCTCAAAGAGACTGATAGTGTGACCAGTGTATCAAAGATCACAATGGAGAAAAAGTTGCTGAGCTAGTGGAGTAAGTCTGAAAAGCTTGTCCTAATGTCAGGTAGAGTCAACAGATGGGTGTCCATAGTAGATCATAGTAGACATCAGTAGATCCTAGTGGCTTTAAAAGTGTAGGTAGAAAGAAGGAAAATGAGGCATCTACATGCAGAAAACAAGTTGTATCTACCCCTGAGTTCCAAGCAGACGTCTTGAGAATAAGAACATCATCTTGGCAATCTTGTATGTTCCGAGAAGTGGCTATGCTTGGAGGGAGAGAAGCTGTAAGAATTTTACACCTGGGCAAATTGGAATTGACATGCAAATAAAAAGTGGATTCAGAAAAGCTTTTTTTTTAAAAAAATATATACTCAGCAAACTGATCAATGGAGCATGTGTAAGCACCCAAGAAGCTGCAGTGTAAGGAGATGTGTGAACTATGAACAAGTAAATCTTAACCATTGTAAATCAAATTACGGAAGTTGAGTGCATATGCTATAGATTATCCTAATATAGCTGTGAGTTATTAAACTGGACCAAGAGTAGCTCAGCTGGTAGGTGGATGCTTGCCTAGCATGTTCAGACCCTCCCTGGGCTCAATCTGTAGCACCACATAAATTGGACACGGTGCTGCATGCCAAACTCAACCATGTAGTGAGTTCAGGGCCAGCCTGAGCTATGTGAAACCCTGCCCCTAAAAAAGAATAAGAATCGAAAGTAAAAGAGAGGCATGGGTTGGTGAGTAACTCAGTAATGTGTCAGTGCTGAGTACAGCAAAGGACTGGCTAATCCCACTGGGTTCAGAGTGTGGTCCTAGGCCAGCAGGATCAGCTTCTCAAAGTTTATCCAAAATGGAAATTCTTTGACTCTAGCCCAAACTTATGTCATCAGAATCTCTGGAGTAGAGCCTGGTGGTTGATCTATGCTATGAGAGTTTCTTACATGCGCTAAAATGTCTCAGGAAAAGGTCTGGAGAGAGGGCGCAGTGGTTAAAGGCTGCTCTCTTAGAGGACCGGAGTTTAATTCCCAGCACCCACACCCAGCAGTTTATAGCATACACCTCTAACGCCTGCTCCAGGGGATCTGATGCCCTCTTCTGGTCTCCATGGACATCCACTCTAATGTGGCATCCATACAGAGACACGTAAATACAAATATTTTTTTTCGGTTTAATAAGCAGCAGGTTAAACTCCCTTTCTCATCACTAAAAGACTTTAAAAATGGCATTTCTATCCCACTGTTAGCAATTAAAGAAATATATCTTATATGCTGTCTAAAATAATAAGGAATATTGAAGAATAATGGAACACAGCTGAAAGAGAAAAGCAAAAAGCTCATACCCCAAAGAGGCAGAGCCCAGGAGGACATGCCAGAGAATAAAGCACAGGAAAAGTGGAGATTGAGCTCCTGGAGCCAAGATGCTTAAGACCAATAATAGGTTTTGATTTTTGGATTTTTGCATATCACAATGAAGTATTCCAGGATGGGATCCGAGTCTAAATGCAGAATTTACTTACCTTTCATAGATGTGTGTAGATAACCTCTAAGTGATCTCATTAAGTATTTGTAATGATATCATGTGTGACACAGAGAATCAGAGCTTGGAGTTCCCTACTTGGGGCACCTTGTTGAAGAATTTCAGGTGTGGGGATTAGGGATGTTCACCATGTAAAACCAAATCAATTGTGGCAATAAAAGCAAGCCATATAATCTCCCCGGTGAGAAAACAGAAGCTGTCAAGCTCATTTGAAATAATCCCAGTCACTAATGGTTTACTAACATTGTGCCTAGTTCTTCCCTTATCTTTTCTTGTTGCTTCTGTGTGTCTTTCTTGGGGACTTTACCCTTCTCCCTTAAAGAGATTAAAGGCCCCGTCATGGCTTACTGTGGCTCTGTCTGTTTCCTTGTGCGTGCATACCGCCGGTGTGGTTTTGAAGTCGTGTGATGGTTTGATCGTCTGTCTCCCTTTCCACACAGCTTTTTGAGGATAAGGACATGACAGTTTCTGCTCAGTCTCTCCTTCAGCGCCATCCTTGCTTAATGAATGAAAGCATAGGATCATGTAGGAACATGTCATTAGACACATGCAAACATGTAGGAATCACAACCTGACAGATCACTAGGAACTTAATAATATTAATGCCAAGCGAACTAATAAAACGGTTTTTAATTAAATGTTTGAGCAATGCTTCTTAAACTTTCCCATGCATTAGAATGTTCTCATTAAAACATAAATTTATGGACCACACCCATAGAGATTTTGTTTGAACAGATCTTGGGTTTCTGTCAGGCTCCTTTGGTCCTAATGTCCAGGAACTGCTTAGGAGCAGTGTGTTAGGACAGGGTCTCATGTCACATAGCCCAGGATGACGTAGAATTCCATATGTAGATGAGGACCACACTGAACCTCTTCCCCTTGCTTCCTTATTGCTGGGATTATAAGTATGCACCACTATGTGCAGTTTATGCAGAACTGGGGAGGACATATAGGGCATTCTGCATGCTAGGCAAGCTTCCTAGCCCCGCAGTAGAGATTTTGAGCCACAAGCTTTCATATACCAAGTGATAATGTGCCTAAAGTAAAAAACAAATCCAGAAAAGTAATGGAATGGAAGGGTTTATCACAGCCTTTAGTCTTTGCTGGAGCAAACAGATAAGGTTATATAAGATTGGTATGTAATATAATATAATATAATATAATATAATATAATATAATTAATACAGTTGTTCTAATAAACTTGACAGGAACTAATATACATACTTTTTCAGTATTCATGAGTCATATCCAAAAATTGTTTAACTATTCAAAATCCTAAAGCTTCCATCTTGGGAGAGGAAAGCAAAGGGGACTAAGAAGTCAGCCGAGACAAAGCTCCCTGTAATACCTGTGACAAAATGTTGATATCATGAATCTACAAATAATTAAGTGATTTTTTAAAAAGGAGATTCACAAAAGAGAAACTATAGTTAATTATACAAGAAAAAATAATCAATTTTCTTAGAAATCAAAGAAATGGAAAATAGAGCTGTAGTGTAAGTGGGTCCTCCCTCCAAGGTCAGATATGCAAAATAGAGAGGTGGCAATAGTGCAGGTTGTGGTTGGGTGATGGGGTCATGGTTAGCAGAAGCCTCCATAGTCGTGCCCTTCCCCACCTATCCCAAGGAAGTCACAGGCAGGCTCCTGAGCACAGAACTTTATTTTTAGATCATGTGCCAAATATGCAAAAAGCCCCTGCAAGGGTCTGGATTCCAGCATCTTTTAATAAGGGAAGGGGTGACTTAAAACAATCTGAATGTCCCCTGGTGGAGGGCAACTGGCTCAGCAAATTCCCAAGTCCCATGGGAGCCATGTAGCCAATAAAGGCAGTCCTGGAGATCAATACTTATTGATTGGGCAAGATGTCCACAAAGTATTGTCGATTGAATACACCAGGTTACAAAGAGGATATCGATCAGGGCTGGCTAATTCAAGGCCATAGGAGCCAGACAAATGGTAGCAGCAGAGAAACACGAGAGAGGAGGGTGAAGGGGTGTGGGGCAGGGCGGGGCAGCTGATGCCCTGGGAGATGAGGTTCCGCTTGGTGTTGGGATTGTAGAAGATGGCACTTGCTCCTTTAAAAAACAAAACAAAACAAAACAAAACAAAACCTTTAGCTTGTATTTATCAGCATTTTGTAACTGTACCTAAATGAACCATTTTACATCAAACATCTTTAACAGAACTTGGGCAAACCTAGAGAGATATAAAGGTAAGAGTCTAGTGATGGGCCAGCGAGATGGCTCAGGGATAAATGCTTGCCTCGTTGCCTCGTGCCTGATACCTGAGCTTGATTCCCAGAACCCCTGTAAAGGTGGAAAGAGAAAACCAACCCTATTAAGTTGTTCTCTGACTTCTACTTGTACTCTGTAGCACACATGCACCCACATATATCCCAGACACATGTAATAATAAGTAAACAAATAATATTTAAGCCTAGTAAGGACTAAGAAGTAAGACCCCAGCTCTGGTGAGTGGGGACACCCTGGAGATAAGGGACCATGGTTGTGACCCCTGCAGTGGGCTAGACTTACAGAAAGGCTATGGAAAGGTTGGCTTCGGGGGTCCAGATGGAGTGTACTTAGCACCAGGGCTGGAGCTTTTAAGACTCAAGACTGGGACTTGCCAGGCACCGTTCTAAGAATTCTATTCCACACTCAGAGCCAACAGTCACTGCAGTCCTCTGGATATCCCCCCTGTTACCTCCCTCTTACAGGTAGGCAAATGGAGGGACAAAGTGGATAGGGGCCGGGGAGCTGGTTCAGTTCGTAAAGTGCTTTCACGGAGACATGAGAACCTTAGTTCAGATCCCCAAATAAAAAGCCAGGTGCAGCAACATATGCCTGCAGTCCCAAGCTGGCAGAGAGGGGTGGATTCCTGGAGTGCACTGACCAGCCAGTTCCCTAAACAGTGAGCTCTAGGCTCAGCAAGAGACCTTGTCTCAAAAGATGAAATAAACAACTGTGGAGGAAAATACCCAAAGTTGACCTCAGGCCTCCGCATGTATGAGAACCCATGCACACATGTGTACATGCACCTTTCTCTGCAACCCCACCCCATACAGAGAGCACAAACTGTCAGAGATTACAAGAGAGGCCACACTGGGATTTGAACCAGATAGTACAACTCCGGTTGAGTGATCCCATAATGAATCAGAGTTTGGGTGCTAAGAGATAACTGATCTCTTGGGGGGCAGGTGCCTGTTTTCACACCTCTTTCTCCTTCTGCAGAAACCGGCAATTACACCTGTGAGTTCTGTGGGAAGCAGTACAAGTACTACACGCCCTACCAGGAGCACGTGGCCTTACATGCCCCCATCAGTGAGTTACTTCTCCAGTCGGGGGATGGTGAGACCTGGGGAGGGACAGTGGTTAGCCATTGGACAGGACTCTGGAGCCTTGCCAGGGAAGGTATCAGTAAGGTGAACTTGGGTCTGGGTTATCAGGTGTCTGGGTTTATCCTGGGCCCATGAGGTAACGTATGAGGTAGAATAGCCTAGAAAGTCTGCTCAGAAGCCAACTCAGAAGAGCCCTCTCAAAGTAGCTTAGGGACCTGTCTCTCATAGCTTAGGGTGTCTAATAGATGTGATTTGTCCAGGAACTGCAGTGGGCCCTGTCGCTACCTTCTCCACACACCTGCGTGTTGTGGATTTCCTGACTCTGAGCACACCCCCGTAGTATCTATCTTGGGATGTAGCTTTCCTTTTAGTAGACCAAGGCCCAGCCTTGCTGATGGGAGGGTGCCTGGACAAGACAGCCCAAGCAGTAGACACTAAAGAGACAGACAGCATGCTAAGGTAGGAGGCAAAAGACCTGAAAACCAGGCCCAGGGATCACAGGCTTACTGGGGACCATGATCATTCCTTACTCCTCTCCTGACAAGGACAGCAAGGGACTCCATGGCTCTTCCCAGGGAACATCTAGTCCTCCATTCTCTTGATGCCTGGAAGCCTACCTGGTGGCTTCCTGGGTGTCTTTCTGCAGATGGCAGCCAGGGGAAGGTCTGTCCCTAAGTGTCTGATCCAGAGGGCCTCAGCCTTTCACCCTTTCCTGTGCAGGTGGAGACATACATTCTGATGAGGCAGGACTTACAGGACCTCTGGGGCAGTAGGGCGGGGTGTTTAGGAGCCTCTGCTGTGTGTGGACATCTCACTGCATAACTATGGAGATCATTCCCCATTCTGAGAATGGGAAGAGTTGGGGAGAGGGACAGCTTACGAGGTCACAGCCTCTAAGCCACTGTCTGTGGTGGTCCCAGGCTTTCAGCAGCAGCATAGGCAGGTGGCTTCCCTGAGGGTATCCAAGTAAAGGGAGAGGCATCCACTGCTCAAAAGGGTTGCTCCCCAAGGAATTCCTCCCTGTTGGCAGAGTGGTAAGGCTGAGGGGCACACCTCTTTGGATGGCAGCTTCAATCCTGTATTTGCACTGGGCTCTGGTTCTTAGACTGGTTCTGTGCTGGGCTGTTTGTTGTGTGACTCTTTGCCTGGTGAGTTTCTCTGGGCCCAGGTTTCCCATCTATGGGAGTTCTTGTGGTCTTTCTACCCCAGAATCTGGACTGACAGCAGCAGCAGGAGGTGACATTCAGGTAGGCATCTACTGTGGCCCTAATGCGTACCCTATGGCCAGGCCATGGGGAGGGAGAGAGTGTGTCAGAGGTTCTACTGGCTGGGTACCATCCTGTCCACTTGATCTCTGCTCCTGATGCCGGTGCCCAGGCATTGGGGCTGTTTGTGGGTAGCTGCTGCCCAGTGCCAGAGAGTATGCTACCTAGAATGCATGTGGAGCGAGGTCTCAGCATCTATGCCACTTTTTCTCTTCCCAGAGCATGTTGTTCCGCTCATTGTGTCAGTAAGATGGGAGGTGGGCCCTGAACCCCTCCAGGCAGCTGCAAGCCTGCTCCACTCCGAAGCTGTACATCAAGTGCATTGGCACATGACGGGAAGAAGAGCACCACTTGTACCCTAACTTCTCTGCTATCCCAGTGCTCCCCTCCCAACGGATTTACTACATCTCTTCTTTTCATTTGTTTTTTCTCTCTGTTTTAGACTCTGTTTTTCTGCATCTGTTTATTGAATGTGTTTCTCTGGTACTTACTTACTGATGTCTTCTGGCGATTTTAGAAGCACCTTTAAAAAAAATAGCATGAGATTTAGGTTAGTTTCAGCAGAGAATGGCTTTTCCAAGGCTGGGCAGGAGACAGTGGCCTCAGGATTGGATCTGTGCAGGGCTGGCTTTGGGAGAGGTAGGAGCTGAGTGTGAAAGTGTGATTGGGTAGCCACAGCTGAGGATGTGTCCCTGGGTCTGATGAGAATCCAGAAGGCTAACTGGGGAAGTTCTCCTGAGTCCTGTGTATGCGCTTATGTCCCTTTGGTTTCACTCACAAAACATTTTGAAGACTCACACGTGTTATAATATCAGCTCCTTTGTTACTGCTGATGGATCCCCCACTGTGCAGAATCAGAGTCTGTTTGATCACGTACCTGTTAGTTTGGGTCAGTTCCAGCTTTGGGCTGACATGAATAGAGCTTCTGTGGAAGGCTTTTGTGATACTGTCTGTGGGCTTGTGGGTCATTCCTCGAGGATAGATACCAAGGGATGGAGCTACTAGGGAATAGATTTGTTACTTTTTTATTATAACGGACAAACCATTTTCCAAATAGCCCATAGGCTCCCCAGGAAATCCACTGCCTGGTATGGTGGGGTGTTAGGTGCATCGGGCAGTCTGCTTCTGGTTGTTTTAGTGTGTGGACAGTGACATCTTGTAGACTTGGCTTCTATTTCATGGTAGCTCCTGATGTCCATGCTCTCTGCATTGACTTACTGTCCATCTCCTTATTTTAGTCTGGAAAACATTTGTGTCTCGAGCAGGGTCTCTTATCTATTACGAGCAAGGGGTTTGAATCCCCCTCGGGGAGAGGAGCGACAGGTCCTGCTCCATTCAGGGATCGTATACTGGATTTGACTGTGAGATCATCAGCTCCTCGAGAGGGAAGAGAGTACGCCAAGAGACAGAGAGTTTGTGGAATTCAGTTACTTCTTTAATGATAATGCACAGCAAGCAAACACAAACGCAAATGCTAAGGTTATTGCTACAACAAGATATTGTCACATTTCCTATAGGTTGCCTCTAACAATATGCCTAATTAACACACATAATAAGTTGCTAATTACCAAAGAAATAAGCATAGCAATAGACAAGTCATTCATTCATGGATTATACGACCTGAGTCCTTATGTTGGTTTTGGGTTACAGGTCCGGAGTCCGGTAAGGCAGGGTCAGGCTGTGGCTTCCAGATAATTTGACCTCGTAGGGTGCTTGACCACGAAGCTGGGGGCGTTCGTTGTCTCTTGGCTTGAAGTCCAAGCGGAGCTTGACCACGAAGTTGAAGGTGTTGGTCTCTCGGTTAATTCTTTGATGATGCTGAGGAGGCTTTGTCTGGAGGATCACGTTAGCCAGTCATGGCTACAAATGTGATGAAGTGCTTTGGACAGGCTCCTCTTTTATGCTGAATTTGGAGTTACTGATGACGTACATGGCAGATAACCACTCGAGTCTGGTTATCTCAGCACAGCTTCATTTCCAGACTTGCCTTTACAAGTACCAGACATGTCCAGACATGTCTTACAAGTTTCCTATTACAAAATGGAGTTGGTCCTGTTTAAGGGCCTGCTCCTTACAATTTGTGTAGATGATTTTCTAAGTTCTTTTTCTAAAGTTTGGTTGTTATTGAAATTCCTTTCATTGGCTGTTGAAATTCTTGTCCATTCAAGTTGGTCCACATTCCTCGTCACATGGGTATTTTCTCTGGCATACCTGGTAGTTTCTACACAGCACCTACTGATGAGCAAGTGATTGTCATTCATGAAGCATACTTTATCATTCTTTTGTATAGTAGGTGCTTTCTGGATCGTTCCTTGAGTATCCTTGCCTGCCTCAGAATGGTGAGGCTCTCGTTCATATTGGTTAGAAGTGTTCCAGACCTTTTTAACATCCATACTTAGGTCTGCAGTTGAGCTGCATTCTCCTGTGACTGAGGTGAGGCATGAGGTTGGGCTTATTCTGTATAGACTGTAGTCATCTGACACTGTTGTCAGTACTTTTCCCTGTTTAGTGCCTCTGTACCCTTGCTGTGACTAGCTGAGTGTCTAAGGGCGAACGGCTTTCTTTTCTATTGATCCATTTTTCTATCTTCATATACACACCATTGGTCTTATTTATTACAGCTCTTTAGGAAATCTTAAAACAGCTCTTCTTAGATTTTTGACTTTATTCTTCTATTTAAAAAAAATATTGTTGAGGGCCATCTGCCGCAGTTGACCGGGTTCACCTGAAAGAGAGGCTGGGAAGGGACAGGAGGGCGGGAAGAGATGAAGCCAGGACAAAGGTTTCTGATCCAGGCTCAATGCTTTAATGTTCAGCTTTCAATTTAAAAGGGATAACCCACCCCCACCCCCACCCCCAGAGTTCCTTCTTGCTTCAGCTGGCTGGGGGTGAGCGGAAACCAACTGCTGGAGGTGAGAGGAATCCATAGGTAATTGCCGGAGATGTCTCAAAGCAAGCTCAGCAGGCAGTCTATTCTTCTCAGCTCATGTACCAGGCTACAGGCAACCAGAAAGGCACCAAGGCCAAAGCAAGCACTGCCTCCGCCAAGGGCAGCCAATGCCTCCAGGCCATACCTCCGGAGTCCTATTGTTTGGTCTATTGTGGTAAACAAGGTCTTATCTCTCAGCCTGCTCAAGGCTGGGGGAAGGGCACAAAATATGGCTCATCTAGGAACTTTATTTTTTCATGTAAATGTTAAAGGCTTGCCAGTTTCTACCAAAATAACAATCATGAGGAAAAGTGAGGAGAATAGAGGAAGAGAGGGACCAAGGAAGAGAAGGAGAGGGAGGAGGAAGAGGAAAAGGAGGGAGGGGGAGGAAGAGGAAAGGGAGGGAGGAGGGGGAGGGAGGGCAGAAAGAAAGAAAAATCAGTTGAAATTTTGTTTGGGATTACATTGAATTTGTGGATGAATTTGGAGAGCACTGGCTTTTCAGTGCTGTTAGATCTTTGGCCCATCCATGGCTGTGGTGTTGTATGGTGTTGGGTCTTTGGCCCATCCATGGCTATGGTGTTGGGTCTTTGGCCCATCCAT